GTCTATCACAACTCAAAAAAAGTCAAAAAATTTTTTGGCCGAAAGTTTGCCTATAGGGGTAATCGATGGTCCTGATCACGATTCTGACACTTATTCTTGACGTCAACCCAATCTGGCGTCAGAATGGCCCTGCAAGTCCCTCAAACGAATGTACATAGCGACTCCAGTGGGAGAAAGACTTGGCTCCAAATTGGGGACTACGTGCCACAAGTAGGACCCCATTGGCGACTACTTTTCTCATCGATACCAGTACCTTTATAAGGACCCTATAGGCAGCAACTGGCCGAAGTTGCGAGTGATTTAGAGCCCATTCAGGCTCAAAAACAGTCGGTTTTTCCATGGACTTCTTTTTCACTCCATTTTTGGCATTCCCAGAGGCGTTCAGGAAAAATGAACACCAGTTTGGTACTCCATGCACGTGACCCCACATCATGCAAAAAACCGTTTTCAAAAAGCGCTCCACGTCCTGAACGACCTCCCTAGTTAGCAGAGCGCAGATGAACAGAGTGCTCTGCGTTAGCGCCGGTGCCAGGAATGAATGTCATATTCGTGATCAAGGATGTCACATAATCCCTGCACACAAGTTTTCATCATGGCGAGAGCGTTGGCGTCAAATTGGCATCAGCGCCAAAAATGGCTACTATCTTCGTGATCAGGGCACTGAATAACATCTGTGAGCGAATTTTTTTCAGACTTTTCGAGTAGTGAATAGCCCCAAAATTTCACATAATCTCATTCCTGTGATACGATGGGTATTGCGCCCTCTTTTCCGCAAGAAATGAAGTAATTTCCCATTGGTTGTGCCTGCATTAGCTTTGCAGTTGGACGCGTGATGAAAATAAATAGGAAAGGTCGTTTGTGAAAAGTTCGTGTTTGAGGGCAGCAGACATATGTTTATAGTTTGAAGGTGAAGGTTATGTGATTCACGTGGTCTGAGGGCCAAGATGATAACATTCCCATTCACATGATATGAGAGTGGAAGTGATATCATTTTGAGTCATATGATTTTTGGCTCTAAAGGTTGCTTTGACAGTTGTCGAGGCAGTCTCGTGCCCGACTGGCTGCTAAGTCTAGAAATGTTGCTAGAGAGAGTGGTTTTAACAAGCTTCTGATATATTTGGACTTCTTCGCAGTTCTTGAGTCATTTTTTTACTTCTGGTTTTTCCCGTTTTTGGCGTTTTCAGTTTCTCATATTTTTCTGGAAATTCAATGATTTTTCTTAAATTGCTATATTACAAGTTTTGCTGGCGCACACTGTTTTCATCACAAGGGCCCGGAGAGCAATATGAACGCTTGTACTGACATAATATCTGCACTCTGGACCTTCCAACCCTCTCCCATGATTCATAAATGTTTCAAGCGAAATGAGATGCCGTCCAGAAAATACTTCGACGATCTTGATTCTACCCCTAGTTCAAACCCTTAATATACCCCCATTCTCAACATATGCACTGTGTATATTTGTCATTATCAACAGATATCACTACCTGCACCCCAATACCATGTTCCTATTCACTAAACTATGATTATTCGGTAGTGGGAAACAGAGCCCGTCGTTTTTTTTTCGGCTTCTGCCATTCTAGTCTGTAATGCACCCCCCCCCCTCGCCATTCAAAGATGTTGGAACCAAAATTTTGAGGGAGTGGAGGCGTATGTTGTAAAAAACTCACCGGCAGGCCAACGTGCCCTTGTGGGAAAGGTGCACAGTCTTGAAGAAGTTCGACGACGCCAACTGGAACCAATGCCCCTTTGCAGCTGCGTGGCCCACCACAACATTAACACGTTCGCAGCGGCGCCGTTTCGCCAAAAACTTCCGTTTGTCGAGCGGCGCGTTCGCGGCGGGCGACACTCAGGCAATCGTCCCGTTTATGGTTAGCGCGCCCTCAGTCTCTACTATACATCGATTGCGCGTCTCTGACGGCCACATAGTCTCTACAATACACATCGATTGCGCGTCTCTGACGGCCACATAGTCTCTACAATACACATCGATTGCGCGTCTCGGCCCCATAGTCTCTACTCCCCTGCCGCTGCAAACGCCAGCAAAACGCTTACGAAACGCTACGCAGCCTTATAGTGTCCTTTATTTACCTCTGTTGCTGAGACCGGCGCTATGAATTGAGTGATCCTCGCTTTCTGAGGCCTCTGATCAGATTTTATCAGTTGCTATCACATCCTATAACCCACCAATGATACTCATGTCCCATCGCCCCATAAATTTTCTTGTGTTCCAATTTCAAAATTCCAGTTCCATTCCAAAATCGGACCAATATTCCACTGTTGCTGTAGTCCGCGCTATGAATTTCGTGACACACATATACACCACCCATCGACCCATATACTTATGTAGGGTGGTAAAAGCTGATTAGCGCCCCAATTCGCACTAGCCATTGGAGTGAAAAAAGTGAGGACAGCCTCAGTGGACAGCGCGCCTGCCAACAGATGCGGGCGCGCTGTCCACTGAGGCTGTCCTCACTCCGGTTCTGAATGTTGCCAAGTCTTCTCTCTATGGCTCAACATTCTTGTCATAATTCGCATGGTCATTCTACATTGATTCCTGTACTGAAAACTATGGTCTTATTCATCTGATTTCTCTTGAGATAAATAAATAAATTGGTAGTTCTGCAATCTTACATTTCAGGATGGTGAATCCAAAGTACAACAAGAAGAAATGGAGAGAACGTGAGCAGACTATCAGTCTGAGAGACATGCATGCAGACTATCGTACTATCGCAAGAGAGGAAGCAAGATCTGCTAGGATTGGCCTTATCGAAGATTTGCATGAGGCTACAAAGGGCAAGAGTGAGGCTCTGTAAAACGAATTCACTACCGCATCCTACTAACCTTTGCAACATGTGCTGGCATCTAGTCTTCTATTTCTATGCTGTGCTTTCTTCTTTTTTATTTTCTTCACTAGTGAGTAGACCAGAATTCTGATGAGCTTTTGGCTTTTTTTTCAAAAGTCTGTGATTGAACTTAACTTATCGGGAAGCAGTTCACTGTTTCGCCTGAATAGGATGGTGAGACGTATCAAAAAATTACTGTATCTGTGATATTGCAAAAGCTGCGTTAATGACGAGCATAATTTCTCCACAATTACTATAGTTTGCATTTATTTCCAGGGCATGAGTTTTTGCCCTTTGTGGGATCTATATCATTATTTTTATTCTCAAAAAAATGCGCTCTTTCTTAGGTGAACGTTTGTGAAACAAAAACAGATGTGCCTCTGTTACGCTCCATAACTAGGAGCTCGGAGATTCGAAAGGCGTGGCTGCGTACATGGTTCGAACGTTGCAGGCTTTGCTTTTATAGGGAAATATTACTTTTTTTTGTCGCAGTTTTAGTTCTGCCATCCGTCCCTGCACGGAACAGGATGACCGTTGCCTCGGATGGTAATATCTCGCGAAAAACGCACCCTACGTAGTTCAGACGGAGTACGGGACCATGCTCCTCAGGAAAATGCTTTACTATGAGTGCTGCTGTTTTGCTCCGCAGTTTGCGCCCTGAAAATTACTAAAAAGAACTGTTTACTTGGTTCCCTTGGCCGATTCTACCAAGAAATTCGCTTTTGTTATTAGGTACAGCAGGAAATCACAAACAAGTAACAAGTAATCTAAGATACTGGTTTAGTCGGTTCCAAAATTACTTGCTGGGAAGTTCGGCATCTCCCTTGGGTCTGACCGTTTTCTCAATCTTGGTTTGCTTCACTGTCATTTTGGACATGACATAAAAATCTGAGAAATGCAAAGGTTCGCACCTTCAACCTTATTTTTTGTGTTATGTTTACGTTTTACACGCCGCAAATGTTGCTGATGCGGATTACTTGCTGGTTTATTAGTTTTAGTTTGAAGATCATAAAACGAATAGTGGCCATTGAGAGAGCGAGGTACTCGAAGACAGTTCACGCGATCAAGTGGTTCACGAAATGCCCCCGTGCATTTGGCATCGTTGTCCGCATTCGCAGAGAATATACCACTTTCGTCACTCGAAACGGCGAGATAAAGAAGCTAGAGACGCGTGATTATTGCAACCATTGCAACCACGATTACTTTCACTCTGCAAGACAACGGCTTACAAGCGGAATTGCGTGTGTGTACATAGCGTTGCCTGGAGCGTCGTAGGGTGATTTCCTATGCTCTTGCCGGGAATTGGTTGCACGTTGAATCCTGCTGGTTGGGCTTGCCGACGTCCGACAAACTCGTCCAAGGCGTCGGCACTCCTGCTAGGGGGTCTCTGCAGAGTGATCCCAAGGTTTTTTTTCTCTTCTTTTCTCTATTGGGGAATTACTTATGGTTCATGATTGAGCAGCCTTTACCCGTAGCACATGATCGCAGGAATTATCTTTGACTCAATCAATTTCTTTCTAGTAATGTAAATCTTAGCGTGAGCGCATCAACCCACTGTTAAACGCAGAAGGTACATCGCAAAAAAAATCGCTGTCGTACTCAGGGTGCACTACCTTTTCACAGTTGTTTAATGGTAATGTAAAACCTCAACGTTTTATGGTCAAAATAATTGAAAATCACACTAGATGTCCTCTTGTTTTCACAGCCCAAAGTATTAAATTTTTATTATAATAACGAAATTAAACAAGGGTCAATTAAAATAATATCGCCAATTACTAACAATGACTTGTTGCCAACTGTACGCAAAAACTTCGCCAAAAGAGCCTCTTTCACTACTTTTCCCCTCGGGTGTGTCGTTAGGTCCGCCGGAGAGGAAATGTAGGTCAAAAGAGCCTCTTTTTGCCAGTTTTCTCGCCGAGTGTGTCGCTAGGTCCGCCCGCTGCCCCTGTGAGCCGAGTGGGTCATTAGGTCCACCCAAGTGCGTCGTTAGGACTTGCTTGAAGTCTTACCACATACAAGCTCGCATTCGAAATTTTTAGCATTTTCTAAACTTTTTTTCTCTAAAAAACAAGGTAGACATAGAAAAAATATATCAAAAGATGCGCAATAAAAACCTCTCTAATGGACAAAACTGTTTTGAAAAATCTCCTATAGTAGAAGAGAAATAAATAGACAAAGTCAACGCGCATTCCTTTCCGAACAACCTTCAACGCGCATTCCTTTCCGAACAACCTAATAGATGTCACTTGTCTGAATACAGAAGGAATTAATGTATAATAATACCTCTCTTAAAGTATAGGAAGGAATTAAATGCAGAGCTCACGATCACTTATGACTACCTAGGCTCTTCAGAATAGTGTGGACTCAGAAAGTGGAAAGTTAGCAGCGGTAGGGCCCACCGTAGCTCAAGTAACTCCAATTTGATAGCTGTCTTGCTTGCTTGCTCTCTCTTAGCTTTGTCTGACGTCTTGCTCGATATCCACATCAATTCTTTGTCTCGCGCTTATCATATATGCGGCCTTATTTGGATCATCCTCAATGGTTTCCTCTCCTTTTTTTCCCTCGAGCCAGCTAGCATACTGAGTTATTTTCTAATCCCGCTGCCTTCAGACTTTTCGCCAGTTCATTGCGAAGTCTGCCTTCAAGCGGGTGTTCTAGACCTCTAACGAAATCAATGGTGACCCACATAATGGGGACCAATTAGAGTTGTATATGAGTACTCGAAAATCTCTTCTTCCTTTACTTTCGAAGCTTTTTACTCGGTTTGGCAAATATTTACTTAAAGGCACAGTTCGCGACCGCAAATTGCGGGAAACGGAACTCAAATAGGCACAAAAAAGTGAGCCGACACATTTGAGAAGTCATGGCCTTATTTTATCGCGGAATATGCCTTTAATACAGAGAACAGTAATTTCTGTGCGATAGAATCGAGTCATTTTGATCGGGAAAACAGTCTTTCAGCAATCATTCTTGCATCCTTCCTTGTCGGTTACAACTGACTGCGCGTCCACTCGGTAGTCAGAGTTTTGATAGTCTCTTCATCTGATTAGAGCTTCAGTACAGCTTCTTTTTTCCCATCGACAACCTGCCCTGCGTACGTTTTGATCTTGCTCACTCATAGGAAAAGGACTACAAAAGCCGGAGATACACGCCTACGAAAATGGGCGGAGTTCTCGGCTCAACATTCCACCCACCTCGTCTCGTGTTTCGCTTTATTCACCCGATCTACTGCTTGGGCGAAGTTGTCAGTTTTTTCGAGCTGGGAAATCGGCCTTTTTCTGACATCACGGCAGGGGCCACCCATAGGGATTTGGCGGCCTGGACCTATTGTAGCAACCTGCAGAAGGGAAGGAGGATAGGCTAAGGATGGTGAAGCGCGCGCCGATCAACCTTTCCGACATCCTAATGAAGCTCATTTCTGTGATGAACCTAGTTCGCTGGAATGAAGGGGCGTGTCAGGCAATATGAGTGCGCCACGGCGCCAAAACCTTCTCTGTCAGTCGTTGAAACGAGTACTCGACAACAGTTGGTAGAAAACGAGTGATACGAACGATATGATACAGTCTTGTCACTTGCTCGCTTCAACAACTGGTGGAGAACGGGTTTGGCACCGCGCCAAACTCATCTCGCCTGACACGCCCCTTCGTCCGCAGCGAACTAGACTACACCGAACTCCAACTCGTTCACTGTTTGTATCTCCTATAAGAAAAGGTACGTGAAAGCGGGTACTGTTAGCGGACTTCATAAAAATAGGATAATTTCCTATTTCTTTCAACTTTAAGCAGTTTTTCGTCAAGGAGTTTGGGAAGCAGATGAAATTTTCATATGTAGGTGGGCAGGGGGGAGGGAGGGGAGCCTCATCTGGAATTATAAGTGGTTTGGGTTTCAAGGAGGGGTAGAAATAGTGAGGTGGAAAAAAATCATCAGAACTTGTGTTTTTTTGCTCAAAGTAGCAGCAGACTATGTAATCTAAATTTGAATGAAACTATCTAAACTGAATGCTGACAATGTGATATTTCCTACATTGATCGCTTTCTGGATTACTTGCTTTTGCATAACTGGTGGTAGTTCTCTATAGCAGAAATACTAGCGTTTTCATGATAGAGTCGTTCATTTGTGATGAATACGTTGTGATATAGGAAATGTCTTTCGTTTAGTTCTGTTGGTGCTTTGCTTAGACGCTTACACTACTGGAATTAATGGCATTTGTTCTAATCATTCACAATACTTGTTAGTCAGTTTGGTTTGTTCGCTACATTATTGGCTCGATTGTCTTCTTGATTTGCTTCACTTCAATAAATATGGAAATATGTTGAAAATCTGAAAAAATATGGTGGTTCGTGCCTTTGATGTTTTTATTTTAAGTTAGTCTTGATGTTTTTCACACCACAAATATTTTTTACGCTATAATATTCATTACTGGTGAGGAAATTCTCCACGTAACGCTTTCTTGTGAAGAGGGAATTTGGTTGGTGCTGGGGAAAAATGCCGTCAGTGCACTCCCACGCTCTTCTACTGTTTTCCAGGGCACATCATTGGTTTGGGGATTTTAGTCGACTCGTATACGAACGCCCTCCCCCTTTTTTTTGGTAGTTTGGTGCGGACGCCTCCCTCCCTCTCGGCCTTCTACGCTCTCGCTCATCGACCTCATCGAATTGGAGCCGTCGAGGCGGGCGGAACGGCCGCCTTCGATGAGGTCGATTTGGAGAGATAGGGGCCGGAAGGTGGGGGTGGGTAAATAGCAACCCTGTGAAACAGGAAAGCTGCGAAACAATACACCCCCCTTTCTATCATAATTCTCAAGATTTTCTCCAACTTCCTGCCTTTTTTTTTATCGCGAAATTCCCCTGATGAAAAACTTCCCTACTGTTTTATCAAAAAATTTTGCTGCCGAGGTGGGGGGGGGGGAGCGGGGCATATAGTACGCATAGCAAGCCACAAAAATCAGCCAAGAGTCAACGCCAATCCCA